TATTATTTTTTTATTTTGTTATTTTTAATTTCTTATATATATACATTTTTGTATAATTTTTTTATTTTATTTTATTATTTTTAATTTCTTTGTTTAGTTTCTTTTATATACCTATATTTTAAAAATACCTCAATATTTCATATTATTTTTAAAATATAATTATTAATAAATTTTATACATATAATACAAATGTTTATTAATTATAATTTATATCTATGTTTAAGAATTTTATATATATATATATATATATAATTTTAAAACATATTCTAAATTAAAATATATTTATTATTTATTTATTGTAACATTATTATATCACAATTTATATATATTTTTATTTTTTTTTAATAGTTTAAGGTAATGTATAAGTGAGCCTATTTCAATTAAAATATTTCTATTTTTTTATTTTTATTATATACAGTACTCTTAAAGTATTCATTTTTATTGTTTACTCAATTTCATGATCTAACGTTGTAAAAATGTTTGTATTTAATTGTCTTTATGACAATGTTGAACTATGTTACAATTTTCGCTCGTTGTTTTTTTTAATTTATTATTATTATTTTTTGTCAATAATTATAGATCGATTTGTGTTTGTTGGTGAATTTTTAATATATTTTAGATTGTATCCGAATAATTATAAATGGTAGATAAATAAAACTTAAAACAAAAAATTTGACAACCCAACTCGGACCCAACCCGAACCCAACCCGAAAATAGAGGGTTGGGTTGGGTTACCAATCCAACCAACCCGAACTTTTGGGTTGGGTCGAAAAAATCCTCCAACCTGACCCAACCCGGACCATGTACACCCCTATCTGGAACTATAAATATTTTTATGAGAACCTGTGTGTAAGGGGGTTGAAATTAAGAAAAATTGAGAGGTTGGATTTTGGTTTGACATGAACCAGCCACGTCATCGTCTTCATCCTATGGACAAGAAGAAGACGCGCGCGTCCTTTACGCCACCGTCTGAAACTCACCTTCCAAAATTCTATTTACAACGTTTCTTTCCTCAATTTTTTCATGAAACTTAAAGATGGTGTTATAAGGAAGAGCTGAGAATTGATTTCATACTTTCTCTTTATGGAACTTCTTCCTTATTCTTCCCTCAAGGTAAATGAATTGATTTGAAGGAACAACTTTGAGTGTGGGACCTTAATTTCAAGAAATCGTTCTCGGTCTGCAACTCACCCGTAAACACCAATTTTTGTTTTCTTGAGTATCTCGTTCAACAAAGTTTCAGCTCTTGATTCCTTCATCAAAGTTACTCAACTTAATCCTCTTTAGCTAAAGAAACTTTCAATTTGAAGGGGAAGAGACGGTAGATAGGAATTCAATACTTACCCCCAAATTCTACCCAAAATAGATTCTCATCAATTGGGCACATTTTTTAGGTTATTTCTCCTCATGGTCTTCTATGGAAACACTCCTTGGAGGTGCATAAACTGATTGAGATTGCCCTTTCTTGACGAATTTACGTGTAGTCTTGGATTGAATTTTTGAGTTTTCCTTGAAGCTCTTCAATGATGAATTGGATTCAATAGTTTCTAGACACTTCCAACGCTCAATTTCTTCATAGAAATTGTGGGTAATCTTGTTAAGAAGATGTAGGAACAAGTTTGAAGGAAAATTACTCTCGAATTTGGAATAAATCTAAGAGTAGGAGACCCAAAATCTAAACGCTTATTGCTTGTGATTGGGAGCTCAACCTTGCTCGATTATTGTTCATACTATTGCTCAAACTCCAGACTTTATAGGGGAAGCTTACACCGACGTTGAAACCTTCAGAATCGTTGAAATTTGAAGATTAATTTTTTTTGGATAATTCGTCGAAAAAATCTTCTCAGATTAGTAAGCTACCGACTTCCAATTTGAATTTTGACGGTTGGATGTGATAATTTGTGAACGCTCTAGATTGTGTCTAATTTTGGAGGAGATCCAATACTTGGTTTGGAGATTGGATAGATTTTGGGCAGAAGTTCAATGTGGAAGTTCAAATTCTAGGCTGAATGACATTTTCGTAATTATCCATACTTTCAGAAAATTTTTGGTAATTTGTCATTTTTCGAATATTTTATTATTATTTTCTCGAAAGATCTAAAAGTTTTCTACAAATAATTCACTTTTTACTTTTGAGCATCTTGAAATTCCTTCTAGATATTGAATTAAAAATTCGAAAAGTTCCTTACATTTTCTACGCAAATGTTTAATATTACTTCTTAGGGTATAGGAATGACTTGCTTAAGACCCTTTTCCTTGCTTAAATCCTTTAATTTTTTTCCTTAGATCCTTTGGGTCTTACATGGGCGACCTAAATTCTGGCATGGTGTCAACTCTTCATCGCCTTTGGGTCCTATGGCGCATACATGCGTCACAGTGAGTGCAGACATTGCGAAATGAGTGTCTCAAGCGACTTCCTTTGAAATTAATTTTTAAAGGATAGTATCGGACAATATGAGCGTGCCAACATTGTGCCTCAGACCATGAGCCGAAAGTCGGATCATACACCCTCCAACTGATACAAAATTAGTAAATGATATGGCATAGACAATGAAGGATCCAATGCCTCGGCAGAACTCGGATGGATGGATGTTTAGGATGTCTCGATTTATGAACAACACGTCTGCCCATTCTCGATGGCATGACCGAGTGAGCTGTGATAGACAACGGACCTATGTTATTTGCCTCCAAAGTTTGTTGGAAAATGTTTTAATTGTTGGAGCTCAAACTAGAAAAAGCTTATTAAGCATCTGATACTAGAGGTTTTCACGACTCGATAACTTGGGTTAGTCAAAGAAGTGGCATATGGAACTGTTGTCTTTCTTGATTAACTTAGCTCTGAGGAGGTACTGTATCCAAGCTTGTAAACAGTTGACTACTGCCAGTATTTCTTTCTCTAAGCTGCATATCTTCTTTCTGCCTCATTCAACTTCCGATTTTCGTATGCAATGGGGTGTCCATCTTGCAGTAGGACACCCTCGAGGAAAATGCTAATGCATCTGTTTCGACTTCGAAGGGCTTCATGGCGTTCTTCAAGTTGTCCCATCCATCATGGTGTACTTCAATTTGTTGAAGGCTTCTTGACAACGTGGAGTCCAACTCCACTTGTTTTCCTTTTCTAATAGTTCAGTCACGGGACCTGCGCGCTTCAAGAGTCCTTCAACGAATCGCTAGTCTAAGGAAGAAGCACGCTTCCGTCACTGAAGAGAGGGTCTTCCAGTCCTTGATGGCCTTGACTTTCTCTTCGTTCATGCCCACCCTACTTGTTTCGATTACGTTTCCGAGAAAGTTGATTCATTATTGCGTGAACGCACATTTTCCCTTTTCACGTACAGTTGATGTTCTCTCAACTGTTATGATCGCACAACATTGCACACACTCGATCTAGATAAACACAAAGATCAGAATAGAGAAAATGCAAGGAGAACTCTGGCCAAAAGATTTATATTGATGACTTCAAGTATGCACAATAAAAGAGAATACAGAGGATATAGAAAGTACAATGTCAAAGATTGCCTAAGCAGATATATGGTTTAGCTTACTATATATATAGTTTTACTTAATATAATCATCTACTATATATAAATATCTACTCTAGTTTTAATGTACATATTTATTAGATGTCATTTGCCAAATATAGCTTTACTATGTATAACTGTTGACTAAAGTATAAATAAGCAGGCTCCATAACCTAACATCAACTTCTCGAAGACTAACCGCAAGTGATATTGATGCTCCTCCATGGTGGAAATGTAAACCACTATGTCGTCTAATACCACGAGTTTATCGAGGTACTCGTGAAAAACTTGGTTCATCAATGTATAGAATGTGGCAGGAGCAATAGTCAGACCAAAGGGCATGACTACGAATTCGAAGGCCCCATATCTAGTGACGCAAGTTGTTTTAGGCTCATCTCCTTCAACAATTCGGACTTTATAGTATCTCGATCTTAAATCGAGTTTCAAGAAGTACTTTGCGTCATGTAGTCGATCAAACAAGTCGGTAATGATGGACATAGGGTACTTGTTTCTAATGGATTTTTGCTTCTAGGTTGTCCATTCGATACATTAGTTCTTGAATGGGCAACTTATCTAACCGACCCGTTGTTGTATAAAACAGTGAGGGTCTTTTCTGTGAGTTTCTTCACCTTCTCACCTAGATACCGAATACGGTTGGGGACTTCCCACTAGTCAACGTGGGGCTTATTCAACTGTTTGGTCTTGACCATGTTTATCGAATCACTTTTAGAGCCAACGAGACTCTGATACCAAAGTGTCACCATCGTCATTTTCTTGGCAGCGAATTTGACAATTGTGCTACACTCACTCTTAGAACTGAGTAAGTAAGCCAACTTAGGATCACGTCGCCTACGGTTGGGGAGGAGTTGACAACTAGTCCGCCCCCATAGTACATTCTAGGGCACTTCATGTTTACCAAGCGTAGACATGATTCTATGTAAACGTCATACACTTGAAAAAAAACAAGAAGGAAGTTATACATCATGAAAACAGTAAAGGAAAGCGGATAAAGTAATACAAGGCAAGGGTTTTGGCATGTAACAAGCATGTGGCCATGGGCAACACGCCTTAGACACGCATCGCCTTAGACACGCATAACCGTGACATGATGCATGATATACTCGTGTGATCATGGATTACTTCTCAAGTTATGTATTATTCTATGAAATGGATGCACATTTAGATTATTATTCGTGTTCCTTTTTTTTTTGGGTTAGTTTTTGACATTGTGATAACGGGAGTATGCTCCCGTGTCGACTCCATAATCAGGCCTACGAATTATTAACGAGCCCTCTTAGTGTACTCACGCATGTGTGTTGACTTTGTACAGAGAAATACCACTCTCAAGACATAAAATTAGGTCTCAACATCAATATACTACACTCATTATAGTAGTTTGAAAACTTATTTTTTATGTTTGTTTGCTTTATTTGTTCATAATGTAAAAGTAACTAGCATTTAAAAAACTACCCCTGTTATATGCTTGCCTTTATATACATTGCTAAGACAAATATAGACGGAGACAAATCAAGATAATTTGGAATTGTTATGCTTTGGAATGGGTTGAGTTTGGTCAGTAATCTATCCCCCGCTTTCGACTGATTTTGGATATTAGTAAAGAAAAAGCAAACCCCCCTGAAAAAAATATCAAAAAATGAACCTTTTTCAACCAAATGTTTCATCAATGACCATTAGGAGGCACCACCAAGAGAGCTTTGGGTGGCTGAAGTAACGCCACCGCTCCCCTCTCGGAGCTGGAGTACTTTCTGTATATTACTTGAAGCTTGTTCTTGCTTGCTGCTCCATGGAATCCCACCAAATGCTTTGCACAATCACTGTGGTTCACATATAACAACAACAATAGCACAATTAGTTGACGCCTTATAATCAATCACACAACAAACACATACAATCTTTTCAATTCACGTACATTAGTTGAGGCTCTGTGAAGCCAGTGTGCAGTTTGAGGGTCTCGTCCCAACCAGGGGCTTTCTTCAGCGTGCATCGAGCGGCGTAGACTGCCGAGGCGGCAATCATTGATGGGCTGTACATTATTGAGGTGTTGTAATGCATTATACCAAGTTCTGCCAGAAAATATACCAGATTTTCCATCTGCACCAAGTTTCATGTTCATATATACTCAGTTTTATATTTGTAAAACAAGGAAGGGATCAAGCATTCATTCATTCATTCATTGTTACGCACCTCGTGATCGGAGTCCTTCGACGCCTTGATGAATCGAGCGAGGAAAACATAGGGAGTAGGCAAAGTCATGGTCCATTCAAGCTTCCCAAGTATCCTTTTCTCCATCATTAGTATCTGTTCATTCGTGTACGCTCTATCGGAAAGGCACACGAAGTCATTTACCTGCAAAAAAGATGCCATGTTATGTTAGGACACCCACCTCTAGTAGTTATTGCTCCTAACAAATGTCGAATTTTACGCATACCTCTGGTGCCCAGATCTCCTCGTATTTGGAGGCTATGAGCATTGCCCCAATACCCAACAACTGCAATTCCCTTCTTGGAACTGCCTTCCTCGCAAGGAAGCGATCAATTATGTTGATGATGAGGTAGAATGTTTCAGGGGAAAGCTCGAACTTGTTGTGGACATCAACTAACCAATCCACCAATATTGCTCTCATTGAAGTGTTTATCTC